ATCATCTTTGAAGGAGTCTGAATATTTAGGACCATGTGATATTTCAGTTTTTCTTTTTTAATAAATCTGCAAAAATGTCAACAATTCTGTGTTTTTCTGTCAATATGGGGTGCTGTGTGTACATTAATGAGGAAAAAAAATTAAATTAAATGATTTTAGCAAATGGCTGCAATATAACAAAGAGTGAAAAATTTAAGGGGGTCTGAATACTTTCCGTACCCACTGTGTATGCATATATTGTTGGGGGAATTTTTTCCCCTTAAATCTTGAACTGTATGAATTCTTTGAAGTTCATCACATGTCATGCATGGCTGTCCTTTATTTGGATGTTTTAAAAATTCTGATGTCCCTTATAGTTTTGTTTAAAAAAAAATGCTTCTGGTGTGTTTTTGCAGGACATGGGCACTGTGGTATTGGGGAAATTGGAGTCGGGATCAATCAGCAAAGCTCAGCAACTCGTGATGATGCCCAACAGGGTAAGATTATTGCAACATAACCCTTTAAAACATCAGGCTTTATGGCATGAATTGGCTGATGTATCTGTGCTTGTCTCAACTGTGTGCAGCACACTGTGGAGGTGCTGAGTTTGCTGTCTGACGATGTTGAAACCGATGATGCTGGCCCGGGAGAGAACTTGAAGTTGCGACTCAAAGGCATTGAAGAAGAGGAGATTTTGCCAGGCTTTATCCTCTGTAATGCTGAGAACATTTGCCACACTGGGCGCACCTTTGATGCCCAGGTCAGTGGAAACTCCCACTGTAATTAAAAGAATGATCCAACTTCAATACAAGTTCAGCTCTATCAACAGTAGATATGATTACTCAAGTTCCTTGTTTTTGTTTTGCAGTGCTACATATCAATTGTGCTTTTGTTTCTGCCATTTCAGATAGTCATCATTGAACACAAGTCAATCATCTGCCCAGGTTACAACGCAGTCCTTCATATCCACACCTGCATTGAAGAAGTGCAAATTACGGTAATGGTTGCAAATTTTCAGTTTTTACATTTAGTATTTGGGCAGAAGTTCTCTTGTGGTGTAAATCTGTGACAGTAAGCCCTGCAGACTTTAGCTCGGGTGGGTGCACTTATTTACAGCTAGTTCTGTATCAAAGTGGTTCAAATGTGCCTTTGGCTCCTTTACAGGCCTTAATCTGTCTGGTAGACAAAAAGACGGGGGACAAGAGCAAGACACGACCCCGCTTCGTCAAACAGGACCAGGTGTGCATTGCTCGTCTGAGAACAGCTGGGACCATCTGCCTTGAGACCTTCAAAGATTTCCCTCAAATGGGACGTTTCACCTTACGAGATGAAGGTAGGTGGACATTATCACCAAATGCGACTCTATAACTTGTCTTCAACTTGGATTTGTTGTTTTATATCTGTTCTGTGAAATTTTTTTTTTGAGTTCTGAATATGTACTTTCTTTGTCTTGAAGGGAAAACCATTGCCATTGGAAAAGTGTTGAAACTTGTTGCCGAGAAGGACTGAAAAGAATGATTGGTGGTTCTGAAACGACTGACCGAGGCGGAGGTAGATGCTGCTTCAGCCGCAGCACACTTCATAGCCCTCCTGTCCTTTCTCCTCTCTGCCTCCCGAAGACCAGCTTAAAAAAACGTATCTTAAAGAAATCTGTTTTTAAGCAAATGAAAATGAAATCAAGTACACATGTGTCAGCTTTCTCATATTGAGAGCTCAGCGATGCCATTGTTTTAGGTTCTCCCCCATGACCTGTTCTTCGTCAATCACACACGTTGAATGGCAAGAGATCTAGCTCTCTTCCAAACCTTTTTTATTTTTATAATTTTTCTTTTTGCTTCCATCAGAGAAATATAATGGCAGCAGATAGAGTAAGCGTATGTGGACCAAGATTTGCTTGTTAACATAAAATGATTTATGAGCAGTAAAGTTTGAATGATTAACCAATTGAAACCAAAATGTTAATATCTTGGTTGTACATGTCTCCCATTGCTTATTCCCATTTTGGTTTCTGTTCACATAACGTTCTTGCAAAGTGCATGAGCGTGTTCACGTTATTAAAGCATCTTCTATGACAATAAAATATAAAATTGGGAAAAATTGGATTGTTTAATTTTTTTTCCTTACTTAAATATTTTGTGCTATATGACTGAGTTTCTTAAAAAAAAGAAAAGAAAATGTGTTGGAAATGTATCTGACCTACATTTTGGTAACCACTTAAAAAAAATTATTTGATCTGTGTTGGTATATTTCTATGTCAAAAGCCTATATATACATTTTTTTTTTCATGTTTAGTTTAGGGCAGAAATCCTAAGTACTTTAAGTACTATGCATTACTAATTCCTATATAACTTAATACCTTGCTTATGCAAACCGCAATGATTATTTTAAGTGTTTCTAGATCCTGCATGTCCTGTAAAACATGGGCTTGTTATGAACTATGATTAGCCCTTTGCTTAAACTGGTTGCAATGTGATTTTTGTATTTGTGTGTGCAATTTCTCTGAGCCACAAATAGGGCAGTGTGGTCCAGCTCCAGATGTTCATTCTGACACACCCACAGGGAGTGGCTTTCACTCCACTGTATTTTGTGGATAAATACAGTAACTGGCAGGCAGAAGTGGAACAAGAGCTTCTGTTCAACCATTGATGGGCCCTGAGCTTTCTGAGTAAGTGCTTCATTTTTTTGATTCAAGTGATGATGAATTATTTTTCTATGTCAATGTTTTAAATGATCTAAGGCTGAGTTCATATCGGTGGTCTTGCATTTCTGTAGATCAAGATGCATTCCAACATATCTGCTGTGCGGATGCAGACTGATGAAGCTGGTTCATGTCCTGGAAAGACTTCCCACAAAGGAGTGAAATGTGGCTGGAGTCACTTTAAAAAGCCAGCCCTGGCCATCTTCATTGGGGGTCTTCTCTTTGGCATGGGCACCGCGCTGTCCTTGTTGTACTTCACCCAGGTGGGCAATGTGCCCTATTTAGTAGGACCTATATTCTTGTCCGTGGGGCTGATGTTTCTGGTCACTGGACTTGTCTGGGTGCCCGTCATCAAGCAGAAGATGGTCCATACAGCCATGACCCAAATGAGCCATGGCAGACCTCTGCTACCTGAGCAAGGAATTTATGCACAGTCCTGCGTTACCATTTCATAGGGTCTCTGAGCTGGGGCTATTATTAAGAATGTTTGTTTTATGTTTATTTTATCCTGTGAGATGTTATATTTTTTGTGTGGAGTCTATAGATGTGTCTCCTATTGCAAGTGCTTTTTTATTGTTTTGTTCCCGGCAAATCCCTACAACTGGATTAAAATGGCTTTAAATGCTCACCACTGATGTCATCAGAGGTCAAAATGATTTCAGACCAAACCGAATTCCAGGGATACACAGAATACTGAAAAAGCACATATGTAGGTCACTGTGGGGGGAACCCTTCAGATTGAAAATATGAAGCAGTGTGTTTGTCTACCATTAACTCATATTAGTTATTGATTATGACTTAATGAATTCGGTTGTTGAACAATTATTGTTAAAATATTATAACTTACTGATGATTATGTTCATAGTGACTGTTTGCAGCCCTAGTGTAGCTGTCTTATAGGCCTATATTTCCCCAGAAAAGATCATCTTTGTATTCTCACTTCGTTTTAGGAAGCAGTAGTATTAAGCACGCCTGATTTATTAACGAATCAGTTTTTGGGTCTCCTCATTTAATAGTTACCTGGCCTGGTGCACAAAACGATTTGTTTACGAAATCGACTGATTCTGTCTGAGCGATCAACATCGACTCACTGAACCGAGAGCAACCGAGGGTTTGAGTGAGTTATTCTGAAAGATATTCCGAATAGCAGCAATTTTATAAATAAAACGTATTAAAAAAGTTATTAAAAATGCTTACGACATGATTGTATGAGTTTTTTCAACACACATGCAAAACTTTGTTTGAAAGAATAACGTAATGATAACACGGACATGAAAACACACATGGAGGACCAAACCTACAGGTAAATATATAAATGTAATAATAGGGAAATGAATAAATTACTTGATAAAACAAATACAATTCTTTTAAAATTAAATTTAGTCCTGATTTTTTTGTATTATGAGCGATCAACATCGACTCACTGAACCGAGAGCAACCGAGGGTTTGAGGGAGTTATTCTGAAAGATATTCCGAATAGCAGCAATTTTATAAATAAAACGTATTAAAAAAGTTATTAAAAATGCTTACGACATGATTGTATGAGTTTTTTTCAACACATGCAAAACTTTGTTTGAAAGAATAACGTAATGATAACACGGACATGAAAACCAAACCTACAGGTAAATATATAAATGTAATAATAGGGAAATGAATAAATTACTTGATAAAACAAATACAATTCTTTTAAAATTAAATTTAGTCCTGATTTTTTTGTATTGGCTACCTTTTCCTTAATTATTTTCTGTATTTATTGTTAACTTTTATTTTATTCTTATTAACTTATTAATTAATCAATTCATTAATTCATCCTGCAGGTTTGGTCCACACATAATGTTTCTAGCTGAGAGATGTAAATTAGTATTGTGTCAGTATTGTATAAATTAATATTGTTCAATGTAATGCAATTATTTATTTTCTAAATGTTTTTAAGAGCTGAATCATGACTGCTACTAACAGAACTGTGACACATGGAATTACACTAATCATTCTTATTTTATATTAAAAAAAGGAAAAATGCTAAATATAATATGAAATGAATTAGAGCGCATAATAACCTAATAACCCCTGCCATGTTAAGGAAGGAACTTACTGAGTCGAAACGAACCGATCGAAAAAACAAACAAACGATGAAACGAAACTTTTAATCGTACAGTGAATAATTATTATTTTGTAGGTGTCGAGCAGTATTTTTCAGCGCCTTCTAGTGTCCGAGGTAGATAAGGGAGGATCGCTTGAAACAAACGTATCCAAACAACCAACCGATGGCTTGCAAAATGATGGCGTCATTACAAATCGGCCAATCAGAAGCAGGCATGAAACGAACCACGAGCTGAGAGTTTTTACACAACAGTCGGACTCGGAACCGAGGAGTCCCATTGTCAGGAGTGTAACGTGCCAGAAAATAGTTTGCATAGTGTTGTTATTTATTCTCAGGATCGTAACCATACTATTTAGCTCAACATATCTCTCACAGGAAGTAGCTAGATATTTGGAAGAAAGCAGCTTTGAGCAAATACCCGGAGGTAAGTAAGTTGCTAGCTAGCGTTGTCAGTTCAGTTGAGTTCTGAGATGTGTTAGTTCTCTAAAACGCTGCACAACATGCTGCTAATTATATCGTTATTGTAATAAACAATAGTTTCAGCCAAATTACACGTCAACGTGTTCTTCATTCGTTATTAAAGTAATTTGTGTCGGAGCCTGAATCCGCCTACTGTTGCAAAAACTTTAAATGGCTGCTTTGTTGTTAGCCAGCTAGCAAATTTAAAACTGAAGTCTTTTCATATGATGGTGATAGAAAGTTGATGTGCTCTAAAATGTTTACTGTTATCCGAAACATAACTGCGTACTACTTTGTTGCAGTTTAAATAGGGAATAAATTTTCTGTTGTTTGTTTAGCTTAGGTTATAAATCATTAAGAAGTCTTCAGATAGTCTAAGACACGCAGTCATTTAATACTGACATGTTACTGTTAAAAATTGTAGCGTGAGTCGTGCGCCTGTGGGAAAATATCTTTAGGTTTTTTTAAATCATCACAAGACACGCTCTTCCTCTTCTGTTTGTTCCTCACTATTACAAAAAAAGCTCTGCACCCTTTCAAGAAGAAACACTTTCAGTAACAAAATCGTCTAGTAAGTTTCACAGATTTTTGTCATTATTATTGTATTTTTTAGAATGCCTTTGGATGACCACATCAAACAGACATAGACCACAAATAATTTGATAATTTGACCACAAACAATTTAATTTGTTACTCCAAACAATGTTTTTATACAATATAATCTATATATTTTATCAATTAATTAATTAATTATTCTATTATTTTTATGACTTTTTTATAATGATGGCCATTATTTTGCCAGTAAACCTGACTGCACAGCAATGAGTGACCCTGAGCCAGCAACATTTGCATCTGTTGAACAAGAGAGGGACTACTGGAAGGAACAGGCTGCCAAATACCAGCAAAGGTAGGCTACATCAGTGTTGTTTTTCATTCAAAATGACATTTGATCTACATTGGACATAATGGAACTTAAGGAAAAGTAAGGCAGTTTTGCAGAGCCCAGGTTTGTTGCTAAACACTTCAGATAGAACGAAGGATAAGATCTTCCTTTACAACCCACATTCAGTCATCTTATTGAATCACTGCTTGTTCAGGGCCGAGGAGGCGCAGGAGGAGCTGCAGGAGTTTCAGCAGATGAGTCGAGACTATGAGGCGGAGCTGGAGACAGAGCTGAAGCAGTGTGATGGCCGTTATCGCGAGCTTGTTACGGCCAACAACAGACTCCGGATGGAATTAGAAAACTACAAGGTACTGTAGTGCATCATAGACACGTGGTTAATAAACTGCTCTTTTTAAAGATTTATGATAGTCACTGTTAGATTTTGCTTTATTTGGCTGAGCAGTTGTTTGGGTGGTTCGCCAATGTACTAGATTTCTCTAACACAAAGTAAGCTTGACCAAAGTTCTTGTGGGGAGAAGAATTTATTGAAGGTTGTAGTGTTGCAGTTCTTCAGCAGCGATGTTAGCATGTCATCCTTTGGAAAATCTTATCCCAAGGTGCTGTCTTTAGCCGCTTTTCCACCGAAATTACCTGGAACAATCTGTCCCAGGAACTTTTTTTTTCCCCCTAGAACTGTTGCTGTCTGCGTTTCCATCGCGGTCTAAAGTACCGTGAAGAATAGGCAAATAGTCTGGTGACGTAGGTCTGCGCGCGTTTCTCAATACCAAGTATGTAAATTTCGGACTTGCATCCTCGGTAGTACGGACTTTGCGAGTTCGGCTCTGGAGTGTGACAGTGAAATCCCGTGGACGAGACAACGCAAGTCCGGTAATTCTGCAAACAGCAGTGTACTTGATAACGTCAGTCAGCTCGCCTTGGCTACTGCAATTTTCCTCACTGTATTTACAATAAGACGAAATATATCAAACACCACTGCCTCCTTTCGTTTTCATTTAAACATATTAATAGTCGCAGAAATGTCGTTCAGGGGATGTATATAGCCTACATTACAATGAAACAAAATATTATATCAAACAGTATTGCCTCTTTTTATTTTCATTTTAAAATATTAATAGAATAAAGACCAAAGATTACCTGTTAGATTTACCCAAATCAAATGGTATCATATGTTTAACCATTAAAAAGACATCAGAGCCAGCGGCAAATGTCAGAAGGCCTAGCCGAGTTGAGGCTGCTCTCATCGGGAAACAGGAGCACTGAGCGCCCGCGGATCGCGTGGAGCTGACGTCTCCAAAATCGGCGAAACGCATTAAGTAGGTGCTGTCTTTATAAAGAAACAGCATATTTGAGTTTTAAACAACTACATTCTCACCTGAAATACTTTTAAAACTACATTTCATGACACAATAACTGTAATATTTAGAAAATTATCCGAATATATGGTGGTTGAAATACAATGCTGCGTGAACTCAACCAATCAGCATGTTTAGCGCCCAAGTCCCGCCCCCGAAAGTTCCGGACCTTTGAAAAAGTACTACCTCGCGAGCAGGGGCTTTCTGAGGGGCAATATTTCACCCAGAAGTTTATTTAGATCCTGGTTCCTGCAGTGGAAACACACCGAGTACCGGCCCAAAGTCCCTAGTTCCTGGGTAAAGTTCCTGCAGTAGAAACGGGGCTTTTGAGACCAGACCTTTATACATGGTAACAAATGTGCTACAAACAATACAATAACAGCCCATGGAGAGCCCATGACACATTGATCTAATGCTGACCTAAGGTGCTTATTGACCATTCGCCAGGAGTTTGATTGACAGGTGATCTGACCAATCATAACGCCAAATCTGCCATTTTGTCTGACAAACAAACCAGACCGAAGAGTAGATTAACGTCGGTGTACTTGAACTTGAAAAATGGTGAGTATTTACTTCTTTTGGCGGTTGAAACGAGATACCGTCTGATGTTCATTCATGTTTATTTCGTGCTTTAACTAGTAAAGAGAGAGATGATTGGTTCAGGTGCCTTTTGAACTGAGGCGCTACAGTGATCTGTCACAACACGTTAAAGAGCCACAAAATGGTATTTGTTTGAATTCCTAAAAAAAAGTTTAAATTTAAAGCTGAAACTTTTGTTTCATACCTAAAGTAACCTGCTCTGCTTTGTCTGTCGGCATGTTGTCTGTTTCCTCTTTGCTCTGCAATGTATTTTTCATTGCATGAGAATGTGTGGCACAAGAGTGCCATGGCTTGTCGGACATAGCAACAGTAATTAAGGGGGGCAGGTCTTTGCTAAGGGTCAAATATATATGATCCATTTGGGTCACACTTTTGTAAACAAATTCAGTTGACTAAAATTGATTGCAAACGCATTACAGTCAGGGGCAATCACAATGTAAACTGAAGTATACATAATCTTTCTTCACCAACCTCTTTAAAAAAAAAAAAAGACAATGGGTCCATTTAAATGAAAACATGCCTAAATCACCCCAGAACAGTTAAAGGGGTCCTATTATGCTTTTTCACTTTTTCAACTTTAGTTAGTCTGTAATGTTGCTGTTTGAGCATAAAAAAGATCTGCAAAGTTCCAAAGCTCAAAGTCCACTTCAAAAGGAGATATTGTTTAACAGAAATCACTTTTCAAAAACTACAACAAATGACTCGTTTGGACTACAACGCATATTTTCCGGGATTTGTGATATCACAAATATCGACGAATGGGACGAGACCTGGTTGAGCTGCACTAGAGAAGGCAACGAGTGTTATCACTATGTCGGAGACGCGCTAGTTTTCCCAAGGCAGACGAACTTAAGAGTGGTTACAATCATCCGGGTTTAAATCGCGCTCAAATTGATTTGATTTTGACGCAATATTTACACTGAAGCTTGCAGGCGGCTATGGTAAGGGGCATGACATTTCCCGACCAGGCGCCGAGTGCTGCCAATCACAACACACACTGGCCCAGCTAACCAATCACAGCACATTTCGTATTTCAGAAGGCGGGCCTTCATTTGATACAGGAACTAATTCGAGCCGTTCATGTCAGACTGGGGAGAGAGGTGTTGTAATAATGTAGAATATGTGAAAAATAATGTGTTTTTCGAACAACCTAGCATGAGAGCCTGTTCTAGTACACCCCCCAAAACAAAATCAAGACTTTGTAAAAGAGCATAATAGGACCCCTCTTAACAAACCTGATTTAGCTGTCTTTGCTGCAAAAGGTGGCTCAGCAAAATATTATGTAAAAAAAAAAAAGTATGTATGTTGTGCTTATTTTTCAAATAAATCAATTTGATCTATTACCTCAAACCATATGTGAACAACATAATAATATGCTGTAAACTGAATAACTGTACTGTGAATAGCTGTGCCACTGATGTCTCATAAAGCACATTAATGGGGGTTTTATCTGTAATATTTGAATATGAATTTTATCTAAAACTGACGTTCATTTGTAAGCATATAACCACAGATAAAAGCCATTTGAATCTTCGTTGACTGAGTGTTTACATCCAGAATGTCTGTGTCTGGTTTTTTCAGTACTTACTGAGGACACAATCACACATTCACAGACAAACAACAGCGATCCAATTCAGGATGAGGAAAGCAGCTGATGCTTATTTCTGCATCAGTGTCTGGAGGGCATGGAGGCTCACTCATGGTTTTACTTGCCATTTGTTGCTCAAACATGGTTGTAAAGCCATATTGAAAATTGGATTCATTTGAAAATAGACCTAAGTCAAGTTACATTTAAATGCTTAATCTCATAGCATTAGGCATTTGTTGACTACAGATTTGAATCAAATTACATCTAGGGATGGCTCAGTACCACAATTTTGCCATGTTGCCATAGCATATCTAGTACCGAAATGAGCAAAATCATAATGTTGTACCGTTTGAAATATAATTTTAACCGGTATTTTTCCAGTATTGGTATACTAGGGTTGGGTACCGAAACCTGGTACCAATATGGCACCGTTACCTAACCGGTATGTACTAGAACCGAATCCGAACGCAGATTTCGGTGCCTCATTTCTGTGCCATGCCTGAGCGATCGATTGAAATATTTGTCCTCTGGTTCTCCGAAACAAACGTAAGAAGCATCATCACTTGCCCCGCTGACCATTGCTGCCTGCTTCCGCAACATGTGTTTCGCTCCCGCGATTTTTGTGTCCACTCCTTTAAACATTCTAATATTGTGTATAATTTTGGCGCATCAGGGAGCCACTCTCAGGATGCAGTGTCCTTAATATTTTCAAGAAACGGCTGTAAACACATCTCTTTCATCTTTGTTTGACCCTCTAACTCTAGCACTCTCTATTCTAATGCTACTAATTTTATCTGCTTTTTTTTTAATTAAAAACTTGACCCTCTAACATTTGCACTCTCTAATTTATTTCTATTCTAATGGCCAATCCATCATTTTTGGGGGATTTTTTAAAATTTTATTTAATTATTCTTTAATAAGTATCGGTTTAGGCACCGGAACCATTTTAAAAGTATCGATTTGGCACCGGTATCGAAAAAAAACCAAACGATACCCAACCCTATGGTATACTGTGCAACCCTAATTACATCACATGCCAGATGATTAATCACAATTAATTGCCTGTATCATTATTTGCTGAGAAAGCACCCAAATTCAAAAATATTACATTATTGTGGCAGATGAATGCAATAAAAAGTGGCTTCATCAGTACCAAACCTCATTTTAGGAGATAGTCAAGATGAAATAAGAATACATTATCATTCAAAAACAGATAGTGAAAGGCTTTGGGAATGATCTCTTTAGTTGTCATCTTTGGTGCCGTTGATTGGTTCGATTTGAGGTTCCTCAGGTTGATGCACAGGAGTAGCAGAAGGACCCTCATCTTGTGGGACCTCAGATGTTTCCATCATGCTCCTGCGTGTTCTTCTAAAGCTCCCACCTCCACTACGCCTTAATGGACTGCTGAAAGATGAGTCACTGCCACGCCTGAGGAAAAAACAGAGTTAAGACACCACACATCTCCAAACATACCACAGGCAAAACTATGTCTGACTGTATGTTACTGTACAATGCGATGAGGAAGATGTCAATGAATGGGATTCTGGTTTCACATACATTACAGAAAGGGGTTACTGCAGAACAACCTAAGTTTGCTCCTGAGTGAAGACACTTCTCTGATCAGGGCATCATTGGCCTCAGTGGCCTCGTTCAGCTCTTTTTGAAGTTTACGACGGGCAGCAGTGGCACGCTGAGACTCCTCGTCGCTCTCTTCCACCTGAAACTTAAGCTGCCTTGATCGCAGATTTGCTTTTTCAGCCTACAACAAGGATGACGGCAGTCAGTTGTCAATGATATGAGAA